TACATACAGGTTAGTACTACTGCTACTAGTACTACTGCTACTACTACTACGACAACCTGCCGAATGTGGCTGAGTACTGTCATAATAACTACATACAGGTTAGTGCTACTGCTACTAGTACTACTGCTACTAGTCCTACTGCTACTACTACTACTACTACGACCTGCTGAATGTGGCCAAGTACTGTCATAATAACTACATACAGGTTAGTCTAGTAGTACTACTGCTACTACTACTGCTACTACTACTACTGCTAGTACGAAAACCTGCTAAACGTGGCCGATTACTGCTACGACAGGCTTACAACAGTTTGTTGCTGTTTCCAGTCTTTGTGCTAAGCTAGGCTAACAGTTTCCCCCTTTTTTCAACTTTTGTGCTGAGCTACGTTAACAGTTTTCACATCCTTTGTGCTAAGCTTGGCTAGCTGTTTACCCCTGTTTCCAGTCTTTGTGCTAAGCTAAGCTAACCCCCTCTGTTTCCATGTATCAGTCAGGTGACGGCTCTCTGAAGGCGTTGGAGGAGACTAAGAACTTCACCACCCAATCACTGGCCAGCGTCGCCTACCAGATCACCACTCTGGCCAGTAGCGTGCTGAGTCTGCTGGACGCTCAAACCAATCAGCTCCGTCACATGGAGTCCTCCATCAACCTCATTGGTCAGGTGAGCCCCGCCCTCCATCACCTGTCGGTGACGACACTATCCAGGTGCATTGTGGGAAGTGTAGGTTCCACGTTACACCGACTGTTTGTAGAACCTGCGTCACCATGAAAACACGTGTTTGAATCCCGACCGACAACTGCCAGCATGTTATTGATGAGCTTCAATCTGATTGGTTCCTTCTGTTTGTTCCCTCTGACCAAGTGTTGAGAATACCGATCCAGGTCATCATCGGTGTGTGTGTGTGTGTGTGTGTGTGTGTGTGTGTGTGTGTGTGTGTGTATGAATGGATGAATGGATGAATGGAGCCTCTGTTTTCCGTCTGCTTTGTGTTCACTACAGTGATTTAAAGTGTTTATAAAAGTCCTGCATTCCTTCATCTGTTGTTTGTTTTTAAATGTTTCTCAAACTGTAAATATATTCCATAAATAATCTCTCATTTCATGTATTTTATCAGTGATGTCTTTATGCAGCAGTTCTTAAATCCCAGACAATAAAAGTAATAAATAATAATATTGATAATAATATATGGATTCACTATCAGTGATTCATCTGAGGTCCAAAGTGAGTCCATGTTGAGTCTTTTGAACTCTTCCTCTGTGATCTTTGACTTTATTAAATGTGTTTTATATGTAGGTTCTTTTCACCTCAGATTCTTCTTCATTAATGAGTTGTTGATCCGTTCCTCTCTTCAGACGGTGGAGATGCACAAAGAGAAAGTTTCTCGTAGAGAGATCGGCGTCTTCACGGCGGTGCGACGCGTCCCACGAAGCCACAAGATCCTCCTTCCTCCTGCCGGGTCACAGCCCCGCCCACCTTACAGCCGCCGACCAATCAATTACCAGCAGCTGGACGGCCTTGGCCACGGCATAAAAGTACCTCACAGACACACACACACACACACACACACACATGTTCTTTAGTGTGTCTTTAGATCCACTTCCTGGTTCAAATGTGACCTTCTGTACTAAAGTAACAGACATTTTGGGTTCTTTCACTTCACTTTCCTCTGAGGGTCATTTTAAAGTAGTTATATTGTGATCAGCAGTATTTTAAAGAGAAGAGAAGCCAAAAACAAAAGCAGAAGTTTAGTCTAGTTTTGGGTGAAGTTTCTGTGTTGAGATGCTAACAGGAAATCGGTGTCTGCAGCAAAACCACAGAAACAGAAGTGACTCTGCAGAAAAAGTTCCTCATTCAAACTTTATCTTCGACCGGATTTTATTTTCTGTCATATTATTTCCTCCCGATAGTCTCGGATGTTCAGCTCTGCTGTTGTAAACTATTATAAACTGCTGTAAACTACTGAAAACTATGGCAAACTATGGCAAACTAGAGTAAACTGCCGCAAACTGTTGTAAACTACTCCAAACTGCTGTAAATTGCTGTAAAGTAAACCAGTGTCCAGTGCAAAGTATTTTAAAGTATTTTAAACAATTGTAAACTATTGCAAATTACTTCAACATATTGCAAACATTGCAAACTGATGCAAACTGCTGTAAACTGCTGTAAAGTAAACCAGTATCCAGTGAGAACTTGAACAATCACAGTACTGGAGGGAAACGCAGCATTTCACTGCAGACATGTTGAATATGTGAGTAAGAAGTGATGGAGGAGAAAAACACAGTAAATATGTTTCTAATAATTTTATCTGAAGTTAAGAAGAAGAAGAAGATCTCTTCAATGTGTGACTGTTGTGTAAATGTAAACTGCCCTTTAATGTCTATTGTATTCGTATGTTACTGCTGCTGGTGTTCAGCCAACACACAGTTCAGACTTCCATGAAGAGGTTTGTAAAAACTCTTCTCACACACACATACACACTCTCTCACACACACACACACACACACACACACACTGACAGACACACACACACAGTCTTTGTAGAGCGTGGGAAAATGTTTAGAGAGACTAATTAGAGCTGCTGAGGCCTGAGAGACTCTATTGAAGCTCTCACACACCCCACACACACACACAGTAACACAATCATGTCTCTGCCCCCCATCAGGTCTCTGGGAAACAGTCTGACCGAACAGGAACGATCCGCAAACATGGCGCCTCCACCAGGTTCAGTGTGATTCTACTGTGTTTATTTTAATGACAACTTCCTGTTTCATCTCAGACATCTCTAACAAGGATGTCTGTGTGTTTGTGTGTGTGTGTGTGTGTGTGTGTGTGTTTCAGGTCCACCAAACCTCCAGAAGCGGTGCAGTGCCCGGTGGCGCCCACTGTCAGCGGGTAATAACCCTCTTAGTGAGGAACACATTCAGGTTGACTTTCACAATAAAAGCCTCAGCCTAGTGTCACACTAACATCAATATTAATTATATAAATATTATATATAATATTTATGTTTTACAAATGATCTGCAGTTAATATTCAAGTCTTAAATAAATCATCTTGTGATGAAAAAAGACTTTTCTGATGTCTGATAAGATCTTTGAACACATTTATTAACTTCTCTATTTTTATTTATTACGTCTTTCTCAGCTCTAGTTTCGGGAAACCCGTGGCTCCGCCCACCATCCCCACCACCTGTCAGGCTCCACCTGATGGTGACACCATCACCACGCTGCTCGACGAAGCCCCGCCTCCTCCTCCTACGGCGAATGAGATGTCAGCACAGGAGGATGAGGTTGCTGACACCTCGACCCCTCCACCTCCTCCTGATTCGTCAGGAGAGACGGTGGCTCTGCTCCCTCCTCCCCCTCCTTCAGAGGCTCTGACCAATTACAGCGCTCCTCCACAGGCTCCGCCCCTCTGCCTCGAGACAGGTGAGGCTAAAACAAAAGCAGTGTGTCAATGAATGTTACCATGACGATTAGTCTGGATCAGATGAACCCGGATTAGAAGACCCAGTTCAGATGAAGTCAGATCAGATGAACCTGGTTCAGATAAACAGATACACCCGATCAGTAAAACCTAAATTTTAACAAGTGTTGACTCTAAATAATCTTGGCCCGGATCATTGGTCAAACTGAGTGACATCACGATGACATCAGATCTCTTCTGTCTCCTTAGTGGTGGAAGAGAGCAGCTTCCCCCCTCCATCTCCCCCTCCTCCCTCTGATGATGACGGCTTCCCTCCTCTGCCCAATGAGGCCTCAGAGCTGCCAGCCCCGCCCCCTCCACCTCCACCCAACCAGGAAGTAGAGGGTACCTGTCTCTCTCTCTCTCTCTCTCTCTTTCTCCCCCCCCCCTCTGGTGTTTTCCTCTCAGTTCCTTTTTTCTCAGTTTCTTCTTCTGTGGTGTTCTTCTTCAGTGACCCTTCCGCCCAGGAGGAGTCACCGCCGTCACTCGCCCCCTACCACTTGCTCTCTCTCTCTGAGGGTTCGCTCTGGCCCCGCCTCCCGCAGCAGTTCTATGCGCTCTCTCTTCCTACCTGCTGTCCAATCACGTAAGCCGACAGAGGGAAGTCACTGTCAGCCAATAGAAACCCAGATAAAAACAGATACTACACATAATTAAAATACCTGAAAGATAAAGATTCATTCATAAAGAACTAGGAGTTATTGAAGATGTTATTGGTACTAGGAGTTCTTGAGGATGCTATTGGTACTAGGAGTTCTTGAGGATGTTATTGGTACCAGGGGTTCTTGAGGTTAGGGGTACTAGGAGTTCTTGGGGATCTTATTGGTACTAGGGGTTCTTGAGGATGCTAGGGGTACTATAAGTTATTGAGGATGTTATTGGTACTAGGCGTTCTTGAGGATGTTAGGGTTACTAGGAGTTCTTGAGGATTTTAGGGGTACTAGGAGTTCTTGAGGATGTCATTGGTACTAGGAGTTCTTGAGGGTGTTAGGGTTACTAGGCTTGCTTGAGGAAAGTTGCAGGAGAACCAGGGGACATCAATTCAGTTCTAGGTGTCCTTGATGAGATTCTATGAGTTCTTGAAAAAACTGTTGTTAGTTTCAGTCGTTCTTGAGGTTCTACAGGCCATTGTCGAAATGTTTGGGTTCCTACGAATATTGTGAGAGGTGTTCCAAGAATCATTCATAGGAGTGTTTTGAGAAAGTTAAAGCAGCCCTTTAAATGTCCCCAGGAGTCATTTTGGCAACACTACGTATGGGCCTTAAGCAAGTTTCAGGAATGAGGATTTCTAGTTGATCTGAATAAGGTTTCAGGAGTCCCATAGGAAGTTAGGAGGTCCCTGAGAACTACAGGAGTCAGGACTACAGGAGACCCCAAGAAGGTCAGGGGATCCAGGACACTGTTTGAGTTGTAAGGGTCCTTTAGGAGGTTGCAGTAGGCTTTAATGTTCTACAGAGTCTTGAGTAGGTTTTCTGAAGTCCTCGTGATGGTTATGGGGCGGGGGGCATTGAGGACTGTTTAGGTTTTACGTCGTTGAGGAAATTGTGTCGGTCCAGGAGACCTGGAAAAGGAGAAAGTTCCAGGCCTTTATTTGATCAGATGATTTTTCAGTCCTTAGTTCTGTGTGAGGATCCATAGATTGTCTATGAATACAAATGATCACTCCCCTCTTGAAGCTAACACTGACTGATTCTGTCTGTCTGTCTGTCTGTCTGTCAGTGATGATCCCCCCTCCTCCCCCCTACCCTCCCCCCCATGCTCCTCCCTCCTCATCCTCCTCCACCCTGCTGCCACGCTCCTCTTCCTCATCTCGACTTTGCTTACCTGCTCGCCTCGAACACCTGGGTAAGAAAACACACATACTGTTAGTATGTAGTTAGTATTCTAGTAGCAGTTCAGCATAGTATTGTGACCAACTTATACTATTACAGTAGTAGGGCAGTAGTACTACACATCAGCAGTACACACACACACACACAACTCCTGAAAATGTAAACTATCAAGCTTCGCTGCTTTTTGCCAAAGCCTTGCCTCCTCAGACCTGATTGGCCAATCACAGCTGTCACTCACAGGACCTCTGTGCTCTTAGATCTAGAACTCCCAGCCACGTCCCCTCCTCTCCTATTGGACGATGAGGGTGGTTTTGATGACCTTATGCCGCCCCTCCCTCCACCTGTGGACTATGACTCAGACGCCCCCGAACAATACCTGGAGAAAGGTACACACATATACTGTATCTATATCTATATATATATACCGTATATATTTATTACAGGTACTGATATTGTAGAAAACAGACCTGCCACATCTGTTTCCTATAATATCAGTCGGAAGCTCCAGAGAGGACGACTGGCTAGTTGGCTAGTTTGTCTCCGAAGCTCTAGAGAGGACGACTGGCTAGTTAGCTAGCTAGTCTCCGAAGCTTCAGAGAGAGGACAACTGGCTAGTTAGCTAGCTAGTCTCGGAAGCTCCAGAGAGAGGACGATTGGCTACTTAGCCGGTCTCCGAAGCTCCAGAGAGAGGACGATTGGCTAGTTAGCTAGTTAGTCTCCGAAGCTCCAGAGAGAGGACGACTGGCTAGTTAGCTAGCTGGTCTCGGAAGCTCCAGAGAGAGGACTATTGGCTAGTTAGCTAGCTAGTCTCCGAAGCTCCAGAGAGGACGACTGGCTAGTTAGCTAGCTGGTCTCGGAAGCTTCAGAGAGGATGATTGGCTAGTTAGCTAGCTAGTCTCGGAAGCTTCAGAGAGAGGATGATTGGCTAGTTAGCTAGCTAGTCTCCGAAACTCCCACCTGTTCTCCTCAACTGACCAGTCGGCCTAATTTTTTCCACGGCTAGTGTAGCATCAGCGTGGAAGCATTTTGAAATTAGCAAAGTATCTAGCTTAAAGCTTCATCCACACACTCTCTTCACAGAGTAGCAAAGCACGTTGCTATCGCCAGGTAAATGACAACTTGTTGCATGAAAGCGTGGAGGAGTTAGCAAGCTAGCTAAGTAGCTAGCTGTCTACTAGTTGGCTTGTTGGTGCTATACTTGTTATGAGCCTAACAGCGGACATTAATGTTTCATGATGTCTTCTACTTAAAGGTATATGTACAGATACATAACTGTAGTTCCCCTGTGTGTCCAGTGGAGGCGCTCTACAGCTACGAGGCCTCCAAACCCGACGACCTGTCGCTCACGGAGGGCGACGTCGTCTACTTGCTTCATCGCCATGACGACGGCTGGTGTGAGGGATTTCTCCACGGCAACAGGGGCTTCTTCCCTGGAAACTACGTCCAATCACAGAGCAGGACTGAAGCCCCGCCTCCAGTTCACACCTGAGTATTTCCATACAAACAGGATTTGTAATAACTAATTTTACTATTAATGAGAATTCCATATGCAAATATAGAGTTTCTCAAAGTCACAGTAGAGACAGACAGACAGACACACAGAAACGCAGACAGACAAACACAGACACACAGACAGACAAAAACACACACAGACAGACAGAAACACAGACAGACAAACACACAGACACAGACAGACAGAAACACATAAACACATAAACACAGACAGACAGACAGACAGAAACACATATACACAGACAGAGAGACAGACACACAGAAACAGAGACAGACAGAAACACAGACAGACGGCACAAACTATGAACTGTATCTGAAATGTTTCAGTGAAAGAAAAATCTTTTAAAATGTCAATAAACAAATATTAACTTACAGAAGAAGAAGTACTCAGATCTCTGTAAATTAAAAGTACTAATACCACAGTGTAAAATACTCAACTTACTTCAAAATAAAGTACATCACCTTTTAGTTAAAGAACCAAAAGTACAAATGCTCATTATGCAGAATAATATATATATATTATGTTATTGTACTATAGTTATTGATGCATTAATGTGTTCATCATTTTAATATCTTTATATAATCAATAATAATAATAATACATCATTTATTCATTGATTAATAATCTGAATCTGTAAAGTAACTAAATGTAGTACATTAAAAAATATAATATATTCCCTCTGAGGTGTAGTGAAGTATGAAGTATGAAGTAGAAGTATGAAGTAGAAGTATGAAGTAGTCCAAAAATATATTTTTGCCCTCATGTTGTACTGATACACAATACTGTGTACAATACTGTGTACTCTGAATACAGTACTTTACCTTTAAACTGCTGCCCCCTGCAGGCCACAGACACAAACTACAGACTGATGGTTCAAACTGTACAATAATAATCTAATATTATTATAATCAATTCAGTGTTAATCACAAGTTATTACTGTCAGTAATAAGTCATTTAACATGTGAGTTATTTTGTTTAATGATTAATGTGACATATCAATAAATTAGTGAAATTCTGTTTTGTTTGTTCAGAGAATCATTAAATCTAAATAAATACAAATAAAACATGTTCAAATGAAACATTAGAGAGAAACATTAATAAATCTTAATATAGACATATTAATGTTTTATCAAAACTATGTTTTACTTTCAGTTTGACCTTAGCTTTGATATGGCGACGAACAAAAGATGAGTGTTTGTTTCTGATGGCCGTCATTCATTTATTGCTGTCAGGCCTACTGAGTCCTACTGGGTCCTACTGGGTCTTCGAGGGTCCAACTGTGTCCTACTGGGTCTTACTGGGTCCAACTGAGTACTACTGTGTCCTACTGTGTCTTAGAGGGTCCAACTGGGTCCTACTTGGTCCTACTGGGTCTTCGAGGGTCCAACTGTGTCCTACTGGGTCTTACTGGGTCCTACTGGGTCTTACTGGGTCCAACTGGGTCCTACTGGTCCTACTGAGTCTTTGAGGGTCCAACTGGGTGCTACTGGGTCTTCCTGTGTCATGCTGGGTCTTTTCTTCTCCGACTTAATTTTATTTGTATCGCCCAATATGGGAACTGGAGATGTCAGAGAGGAGGATGCTGAGGAAACTACTTTGGACAATATTCCAGACAACGCCTCTCATCCTGTGAACTCCACACAGGTCGCCCTCCTGACTAGATCCGTTCATTGGCCCCGCCTCCTGGTCGCCCTCCTGACTAGATCCTTTCATCGGCCCCGCCTCCTGGTCGCCCTCTTGACTAGATCCTTTCATCGGCCCCGCCTCCTGGTCGCCCCCTTGACTAGATCTGTTCATCGGCCCCGCCTCCTGGTCGCCCTCCTGACTAGATCCTTTCATCGGCCCCGCCTCCTGGTCGCCCTCCTGACTAGATCTGTTAATTGGCCCCGCCTCCTTGTCGCCCTCTTGACTAGATCTGTTCATCGGCCCCGCATCCTGGTCGCCTTCCTAACTAGATTCTTTCATCGGCCCCGCCTCCTGGTCTCCCTCCTGACTAGATCCGTTCATCGGCCCCGCCTCCAGGTCACCCTCCTGACTAGATCTGTTCATCGGCCCCGCCTCCTGGTCGCCCTCTTGACTATATCCTTTCATCGGCCCCGCCTCCTGGTCGCCCTCTTGACTAGATCTGTTCATTGGCCCCGCCTCCTGCTCGCCCTCCTGACTAGATCTGTTCATTGGCCCCGCCTCCTGGTCGCCCTCCTGACTAGATCTGTTCATCGGCCCCGCCTCCAGGTCGCCCTCCTGACTAGATCTGTTCATCGGCCCCGCCTCCTGGTCATCCTCCTGTCTAGATCCTTTCATCGGTCCCGCCTCCAGGTCGCCCTCCTGACTAGATCTGTTCATCGGCCCCGCCTCCTGGTCTCCCTCCTGACTAAATCCGTTCATTTGCCACGCCTCCTGGTCGCCCTCCTGTTTAGATCCTTTCATCGGCCCCGCATCCTGGTCGCCTTCCTAACTAGATCCTTTCATCGGCCCCGCCTCCTGGTCGCCCTCCTGACTAGATCTGTTAATTGGCCCCGCCCCCTGGTCGCCCTCTTGACTAGATCTGTTCATCGGCCCCGCATCCTGGTCGCCTTCCTAACTAGATTCTTTCATCGGCCCCGCCTCCACGTCGCCCTCCTGACTAGATCCTTTCATCGGCCCCGCCTCCATCCAAAGCATTGTTGTTAGGAGCAGTTAGGGTTCGATCAAGGACACTTACTAGGAGACCAGCGATCTTCACAGGACGACCCACTCTACATCTTAAGCCACAGCCGCCTAGTAAGGAGAACTTAAATGTATGTTGGGTCACAGTTAAACCTGATGAGGTCATCACATCATCATCATCACCAAACCTTTGACACATTTTACTGTATTGCAAACAAAACACAAAATACTTCAAAGGTGTAAAATATCTTTATTGTCAGTTATCAAAAATGTTTTCAAGTAAAAAGTCAGACTCAGAGTCCGTAAACACAAAATAAATAGTTTGTTCATAAATATAAACATAAATACAGACAAATAAATAGAACAGTAGAAGACAAACAGAAACAGAATAGAAGTCAGTGTCGAGTCTCAGTAGAGCGCCTCCTGCTGGCAGCAGATGAATCCACCACGAAGGCCGCAAGCAGGTCCAACTGCTCCAGGTGCAGTTTAGTCTCCTTTCTGATCAGCTCCCAGGACTCAGGACTACCACCCTGTACACAGAGTACTACAGTCAGTGCTACTACTTATACTACCCTGTACACACAGAACTACAGTCAGTACTAGTACTTATACCACCCTGTACACAGAGTACTACACTCAGTACTAGTACTTATACACACAGAACTACAGTCAGTACTACTACTTATACCACCCTGTACACAGAGTACTACAGTCAGTACTAGTACTCATACCCAGCCAAACATTGCTACAGTTAGTACAACAGCAGTACTTGTACTCACAGTGCGGTACAGAGTACTATTTTCCAGTCTCCGGTAGTATCTTCTCTGTCGGCTCATGTTTTTTCTGCTGTGAGTCGACACCTGAAGACAAAAACACAGTTCAGTTAACTTCAGGTTTAAAAGTTGTCAGTTCTCAAAGAAGTTGAACAGTCAGAAGTGTCTGCACTGACAGCAGTTGAAGTGTCAGCAGTGACCGGCTTATGTCAGTTGAAGTGTGAACCTCAATAGTAAAAGGGTTGAAGTGTCTATTGAAGTGCTCTGAAGGTACTTTAGGTATCAGTTGAGGAGCTGAAAGGAGTTGAAGTGTCTCTCCACTCACACAGCTCTTCAGGCCGTCTGTCTGCCTGTCGATGGTCATCAGGAAGCGCTCCGTCTTGTCCGTATCCCAGGTAACGGAGGAGCGGTTGTCATGGTGATAGAGACCTGCGATCAGCTCCAGACTGTCTCTGATGAAAACCAGCTGAGACTCTACCTGGAGAGAGACAGACAGGTGTGAGAATTCTAGCTCTCTGATTGACTGACAGAGCTGATGTCAGCAACATAAATCTTTATGTTTGTGTGTGAAGTTTACTAAGAAATTGTCGGCATAAACATGAGAATTATGAATTAAAGTGTAGTCACTTGTACTGAAGACTGAAAGAAGGTGAAGTGGCAGTTTAAATTAAATTGTGATTGATTGATTGATTGATTGATTGATTACCTCATCCTTCCTGATGCGTTCGTAGAGTCTATAAGGAAAGGGAACTGGACTCTCCTGGTCTGTCAGCTGACCGCCCTAAAACACAAAGATTTCACTTCATTTCACTTCATAAATGGACATTTATTACTAAATATTTTAATACATTTCCATCCACGTCAGTAGTTAATTGTTAATACATGTAAAAACAAATATTGTGTATAATATTTATTATTTTCTCTAAAATGTTAAACTTGTTTACGTCCACTAACTGTTACTAACGAGTCAAAAGCAGATTTAAAGGGACAGTTCGCAGTTTTTATAACAAATAGTTTTTTTTTACTCCAAGTTTTATTCTGAAAATTTATTTTGTCTGTTCGCCTGACTTTATAAACTTTATAAACATTTTGACTCTATAAACTTTATTAACCTCTAAAGTTGGGTTTGGCAAATTTGGAGAAACCAGTAAGAGAAAGCTAGATTTTAAAAGTATCCTGGACCACTAGACTAGAGAACTACTAGACTACTACACCACTGGTCCACTAGACTACTAGACCACTGGACCACTAGACTAGATAACTATAGGACTACAGGACCACTGGACCACTAGACTACTAGACCACTGGACCACTAGACTAGATAACTATAGGACTACAGGACCACTGGACCACTAGACTACTAGACCACTGGACCACTAGACTAGAGAACTATAGGACTACAGGACTACTAGACCACTAGACTACAGAACCACTGGACCACTAGACCACTAGACTACTAGACCACTAGACTACAGAACTACAGGACCACAGAACCACTAGACTACAGGACCTGGACTAACCCCGAATCATGCTGATGTACTCACCATGACTTGGACCAGAGTCAGAGAGATGTTGCTCAGGTGCCCGTAGTGTCTGAGCCAATCACAGCACAGGACGGGGGTCACAGCGCTGCAGAGGAGGACGAGGATCAGGCGGGTCCAGCTGGTCATGATGAAGGTGATGAAGATGGTGAAGATGGCGGCTGCAGGCTGATCCTGGTTGTGTCTCCAACATGCTGCTGATCTGAGACTTTTATTCCAGACAGGAAAGAGAAAAGTGAAAACTGGACTTTTTGTCTTTCACTTTTTGTCTTTCACTTTTCAACACAAACACTGTGTAGAAACAATATATATATATATATATAATACACAATATGTATATAGATATGTTGTATATAAATAGTACTGCAGCAATATTAAATCCATTCATTATATTTCGATTTAATTAATTTATGTTCAACTGTTATCAGTAAATTAAGACATTTATCAGAATCACTCTTTAAAAATGAAAAACAAACTTCAGATATTTAAATATTAAGTTATAGATTATAATTTTATATTATACATTATATTTTATAATATTATATAAAATACTTTGAAGATGAATTAGGTCATTGTTATTAATTGTTCCGTTTGGAATGTTTTTTATTTATTTACTTTCATTTTTCAAACCAGGGGCCTCAGATTGCATACGTCACAGGAAGCCACAGATAGACTTTTCAAAATAAACGCACACTTCTTTTCTTCAGCAGTAAAGTAGCAGAGCTCGAGGAGAAGAAGATGAAGAGAAGAGAGTGAGATGTATTAATATTTGAATGCGATGAAGACTAACATCAGAGAGATTATCTAACTATCAAGTATTAAGTTAATAATGTGCTTTTGTTTTGAAAGAGGCATCTCATCTGTTTCCGGTTTCTCTGGAGTTTTGATGGTTTTTGACCGGAAGATGACGTCAGCCTCGTTTTCACTTTCCGGTCGTCGAGGAAACGGTGAGGCAACGCAGTGATGACGTCATCAGGAGTGTCATCAGGAGTGTCTGATTATCGATCCACAGAATGTGGCTGAAGATCAAAGGAGCGACAAATAAATATATAATATATAAAGAATAAACATAAATACACTGATACAGATACACGTCATCAATTGATTCATAAATGGATCAAGAGATCAATAACACAAAATAATCTGATTTTAAAAAACGATAAAAAAAAGTTCATAAAACGAAGTTAAATTCGTGATGAATGAATTTCCGGTGAGGAAACCTTTGCCTGACGGACATGTCGTCACTTCCGTCTGCATCCTCATTGGTTACAGCAGCAAGGCCCCCCCGGAAGCGCGGCAAACATTTGTTTGTTCGTTCGAAGAAGAAGAAGAAGAATGTGAGTAAAATAAACTTTACCGAGTTTTAAAAAGACAACCGGAGACTAAAGAGCCGACGGTTAACGGACACGAGTCAATACGTAATAATAATAAAGTAGAGAGACGTCAACGCGGCGGCGCTGATTCGTTATGAAGGAGTTTAACATGAATTCATTAGTTTCTTTCGTCGTTTCTTTACAAAATACATTTTTAAAACCAGATCACTTCTGAGCCTTCAGGTTCCTCCTGAGCCTTCAGGTTCCACAGGTTCCACATTACATGTTCTTATATGAACGTGTCTCAGCTGAGAGCAGAAACTGTTCAATCAGCAGATTTCTGGAGGTTTGGTTTGAGGTGCTCACCTGTAGACTGTTTCTGGTCTGTAGGTGTGATGGAGGTCGACGTCCTGGAGTTCAAAGTCCCGGTCCAGAACAACAAGACGCTGTTCGTGTGGGACATCCAGCCATCTCACACCCAGGATCAGGTCTACGTGAGTCCACTTGGGGGGTTCAGGTCTGCGTGAGTCCACTTGGGGGGTTCAGGTCTGCGTGAGTCCACCTGGGGGGGTTCAGGTCTGCGTGAGTCCACCTGAACCCACAGGTGGTCCCTCTGTGTGTTGGTCCTTCAGGTCCGGTTGCTCGATGTCTTCTCGTCCTTCGGTCCTCTCTACCTGCTCAAGGTGAGTCCCAACTCTGCTCCCAACCCGCCGGGGTTCTACGCCCTCATCAAGTTCTACTCCACTGCTCAGGCCTCAAAGGCACTACGGCAGACTGACGGACAGACGCTGTTCCAGAACTCTCCACTCAAGGTACTTCATGGTCTTCTTCAGGACAGTTGATCCACCTGAACAGGTGAAACGGTTCATTCGGGGTTTTAAAACATGTCAAACTTTGATGATACATGTTTTATATACCGAGTACTTAAGAATAGAAGTTCATCAGAGTGTTTGTTTCCTGTTAAATGTGCTTTTATTGTAAAGTTGCACAGTGCAACAGGAAGTGATGATAGTGTTACGTGGTAACAGGATGTAGTTTTACAGCCTTTTCTTTTCATTAACACTGTGGTCCAACACCAGCCCGTCACCTGTCTGTGTGTCTCAGGTGAGACTGAGCTCCAGACAGACTCCTCACTTCCTGTCTGACAGCAGCAGACCTCTGAGCCACGCCCGCTGCCTGGAACTGGCCAATCACTGCTTGGGATTCAACGGCTGGACCTCTGACATCATCACGGTGAGACGACACACTACGGCCCAGTCCCAATGTCCCCCCTAAACCCTAAACCCTCAAGGACTCACTGAGGTCACCTGGTGAGTGTGAGAGACTGTGAGGGCTTCACATGGTGTAAATATGAACGGGACATATCACGTTACCATGAAAACAACAAAACATATGATGTATATTGTGTGTATTTATTGTATACTTTGTACTCCCTGATGTGAACGTCTTCAGGCTCTTTCCTCACTAGATGAGAGGTAACTTCATATCATCTATTTACTCGTTTCTGTCAAAACAGCTTCAATGACTAAATCAGATATTTGATGAATAAATGAATAAATATTCTGTGATTTCATGTTCTAATGTTCCATCTTTAACCCTTAATGTTTCTGTGTACATGTAATACTCCAGGCTGGTTACCCCGTGTTTAACGTCACATTGCAATGATTTGTGGGTAATTCCCTTTCTGTAAGTCAGCATCCTATGACTTGCACTCGATGATGTGACAGACAGAACTAAACCCTCACAGAGTTCGCGGGAGTGCGCCTCAAAGTCCGTGAGGGGGGGGGCATTGGGATTGGGCCACACACACACACACTTCTACATTCACATGCAGCTGACTTCCTGTCTGTCCCTCAGCTGAAGGAGCTCACCAACGAAGAAGAAAAAGAAAGAGGAGAAGAGGATGATGAAGGTGGAGGAAGATGGAGGAGGCTGAAGTTTGGCTGTGTGCTGCAGCTCTCCTTCCCTCATCACGGACAGACGACCAGAGCAGCAGCAGTGGTGGAGGACAGCTTCACCTGCTCGGGTGAGGACGGCTTCACATTACATCACAGTCATTCAGCAGATGCTGTCATCCAACGAGACTTACAATAAGTGTGTTCAAGAGAACTACTAGTCACCAGAAGTCATGAGTGCATCTCCTTTATACAAGCATCTAAGAGCATAAACCAGAGCAGAAGTACAGAAACAAACTAGTATGAATACAATAAATGCAACAAACTAATACAATAAGTCAGGGGTATTCAAGTACATTTCCAAAAGGTCCAGATTGAGAGAATCTCCTCGTGCAAAGGTCCGGAACATTACAATAATATCTAACTTGCACTATT